GGATATTTCACTCAGCATATAAACTGGTATTCTTGCTCTTTAGAGAAGTGTTGTTGTTGTTGTTGTTAGATTTCATCAAGTACAACCTATAGGGAACCAAAACAACAATAGATCTGAGCCTTGTCCTATCCTGTGCCATCTTCACACTTCCTGACACACTAGAACCCTTTGCAGTAGTCCCTGTGTCAATCCACCTGGTTGAGGGCCTTCCTCTCTTTTGCTAACCCTCCACCTTTCCAAACATGACATCCCTCTCCAATGAGCAGCCTCTCCTAACAACATGCCCAAAGTATGTGAGATGAAACTTCATCATATTTGCCTCCAAGGAACACACTGGCTGTACTTTCTCCAACACATATTTGTTTGTTCTTTCGGCAGTACATAGGATATTCAGCACTCTTCTCCAACATTATAGCTCAAAGGCATCAATCTTTCTTCTCCTGTCATCCTTATTCATTGTCCAGCTCTCAGATGCATAGCAATTAATCAGAAAGACCAGGGTCTGAATCAAATGCATCTCAGTGTGTCTTGACATCATTACTCCTCGATAATTTGGAGAAGTCCCTGACTTCAGACTTTCCCAGAACAATATATCTCCTTATTTCCTGATTGCTGGTACCAAAGGTGTTGATTGTGGACCCAAGTAAGATGAAGTAATTTACAACTTCAATCATTTCTCCATCTATTATGATGTTGCTTATTGGTTCAGTGGTAAGAATTTTTGTTTTCTTGATGTTGAGATGCAATCCATATTAAAGGCTGTATTCTTTGATCTTCTGCAACAAGTGCTTCATGTCTTCTTCGCTTTCAGCAAGCAAGGATGTTTCATTTGCATAACACAGGTTACTGATGAGTCTTCCTCCAATCTTGATGCCACATTCTTCTTCACAGATCCCAGCTTCTTGTATAATTCATTCAGCACACAGACTGAATAGGTATGGAGAGAGGACATAACCTTGACGCATGCCTTTCTTAATTTTAAACCATGCCGTGTTCCTTTGCTTTGTTCGCACAACAGTCTCATGGTTTAAGTGTAGGTTTTAAATGAGCATAATAAGATGTTCTGGGATTCCCATTCTTCTCTTGGAGAAGTCCTAGACAGCAGACTTTCCCAATGCAATATGGTTCTTATTCCTTGCTGGCAAAGGTGTCAAAATTGGTTCCAACTGATAATGACCTTCCAGCGGGTTTTTGTACATCACAACGGGAGGAAATCCATCTTTTTCACGGGGTAGTTGGTGGGTTCAAACCGATGGAGATGCATAGGCTTTGGGTTAGCAGCACAACTTGCTAGGAACTGCCATCAGAGCATAGGTTTACATGTGACCATTTCCTAATCTGTAAGAAATAATTTTACATTTTTCCACACAGCCATGGCTGACGTATTTCTCTATTAGTCTCTCACACAATACCTTCCTACAGAATCAAAGCTTCTTTTCAAATTTACAAACCCTGAAAGGAATGGCATGCCCACTGAGCAAGGTAAGCACAGCCTTACTTTTGATTATTCATTTGTAGAGAATTATTTTCACGTGATTTTTAGCACAGATGTGAAACTCAGATGAAATTGTTTACTACAGATTAGTATATATGTAAATTATATACTCTGTCCTTGCTTGGTAGGTTGTTTGACCTAATGCTGGTTACAAGGTCACTAAAATGATACATATGCACTCTCAGTTAATCTAAACAGGTTGTTATTCTTGCCCTCAAGTCAATTTTGATTCAAGGCAACCTCATGTGACAGCATAGATCTGTTACACGGGATTTTGTAGGCTGTAAACTTTATATGAACAGACCACCAGGTTCTTCTCCTGAGGAGTCACGGGGTAGATCTGAGGGGCCAATCTGTAAGCTTTACCACTTAACCACTGCACCACCAAAATGACTTTTCTAAGGGGAAATGATCCTGCTAAAGAAAAGAGGATTCATTTCCCTTTCTGAGCAACCTCAGAACCCAAGAATCTCTCAGCCCTTGGCTCGCCACTTCCTTCCACCAGCCCTTCCAGCACTTCCTCTGCCCTGAGGAGCAGAGTGCCACCTGCTCCTGCCAGACTTCTCCGTTACCTGGAAACACTGAGGTCTGTGTGCTGACAATCTCAGCCACCAGCCTAGGAGAGGAGGGGCTGAGACCACTTATCTCACCCAGGACCAAAGCTGCTGCCTTTCTCATTTCCTGCCAGCTCTATGTACACATCTCCCTTCAGTGCTCGGTTTACTCAGTATTGACGCACACACCCTCCCCTGTAAGTGTGGACCAGGGAGACCACTGAGGAAGATCTGAGTCACAGGTTCCCCTCTGCTCACTCTTTAGTCCTGTGCTCACTGCCTTTCTCCCCAAGTTCAAGAAGACATCTCTGTGTGACCCTGTCCAGCTCAGTCTTTCAGTGTTGCATTCCTCATTGATAAGGTAGAGATAAAAATATTGTCTTGCCTACCTACATACTTAACTCACAGGAAAATGATGAGCATCCAAAAGCATTGTTTCAATGCTTCAAAAGTCATACATTATCAGATAATACAAGGCCTAACCATTATCACTGCTTCAAAGTGAAGGGGGTCAGGATAGAACTCCTTTCTTCATAGGGACAAAACTCTGGTCTCCATCCTCTCACCCTGACCAATCTCCCTGTAACCACACTGAAAGTCCCCACCCTGACCATGTTTCCTTTTCCTCCTTCTGGACAAGGAAGTCTAGCGCCAGAGGTATGGGAGACTGCCCTCTGCTGTCCACATGGGTCCCAAACACAGCGGTCATGGCAGGTCCAAAATACTGAACCAATATTGCCACCTAGTGGATGACAGAAGCATTGTTGCCACGCAGATATAGCTTTGGTCGGCTCCCTTTTAGCACATGGTCCTGAGAAAAAACAAGAGGACAGAAATCACCTCAGGGGTTCCTGGGATCTGTCTCTGGATATATGCACATCTGCACATGTCAGGTCCGAACTTTCGGAGAAAACTCATGTGATCAGACCTCAAGCCGTATGCAAAAACTCCTAGAAGAGGGACAGAGAGTAGGGAAGACGAAAAGAGGGAGTGCTAACTAGAAGAGTTTGTTGTTGTTATCTGCCATCGAGTCGCCTGCGACTTATAGCGACCCTAAGGTGGGTAACAACATTGAATCTATTGGTCATTGTTATAACTGGGCAATTC